CTGATTTCCTCAATGATTCACTGATTGTTGAAGTGCATACTGTTCGATCTCCATGTGTTTTTATTTTTTTTGTAGTTTCTCTTGCTGTTTATTTCTAGTTTTATTCAATTATGATCTGATAAGATACAAAAAATTTCAGTTTTTGAGGGTATTTTTCAGACCTGCTTTATGACCTAAAATATAATCAATTTTAGAGAAAGCCCATAAGCTGCTGAAAAGAATGTGTATTCCACCATCATTGGAGGAATTTTCTGTAGATCTCTGTTAAGTTCATTTGAACTTTTGTGCAGTTTAACTCTGAACTTTCTTTGTTAATTTTTGTCTGGTTAATCTATCTTTTGATGAGAGTGCTGTGTGGAAATCACAGACTATTTTTTCTTCTTTTATTATTCATATGTGCATACAAGGCTTGGGTCATTTCTCCCCCCTGCCCCCACCCCCTCCCGTACCACCCACTCTGCCCCTTCCCTCTCCCCTCACCCCCTCAATACCCAGAAGAAACTATTTTGCCCTTAGTTCTAGTTTTGTTGTAGAGAGAGTATAAGCCATAATAGGAAGGAACAAGGGTTTTTGCTGGTTGAGATAAGGATAGCTATACGGGGAGTTGACTCACATTAATTTCCTGTGCATGTGGAAATCACAGACTATTATTGTGTCTAGATTCACCTGTCCATTTATGTTCAGATAGTGTTTGTTCAATGTGATGGGGTGCACCAAAGGTGGGTGTGTTACATCTGCTTGATGGATGATCCCTTTGCTAGTATGTAGTTACCTTCTTTGTCTCCTCTGATTTTGGCTTGATGTCTACTCTGTCAGTATGAGTATACCTATACCTGTTTGCTTTACTCTCCTATTTACTTAAATATCATTTTATATTCTTTCACTTTTTTGTAATTATATTTTCTAATATATTTTTACTAAGTATAAGAACAATTGTAATTTCATGTACTCCCATTTGTCAGTCCTTTCTCTTAGTTGCTGAGCCATTTGAATTCTATTGAAGAAGTCATTGCCTATCCCTATTAATTCCGGTATAGTCCCTGCTCTTTCCTGCACTAGATTCAAAGTTTCAGATCTTATATTAAGGTCCTTAATGCACTTTGAGTTCATACTTGTAAGGGGTGAAAGACATAGATCTAGTTTCTAGTGATAAAAAATTTTTTTTTCAAGAACAGTTTTGACTTTTTTATAAAAAGGTTTTACCAAACAAAGTTGCCGAAAATTCTTAGTTTATCTGGAATTTTGTTGGGTTTCTTTGAAGTCAGTCATACTTTCTGTGAATTCTGTACTTTTGTTTTAAATTAATATATAGCAAAATTCTTTCTAACCCTCTTTTCATGCATAGGGCAACACTTCATGTGCTTTATATGGAGACTATTAATCTCTGCTTCATGTGGATCTGTGGCCACATCTTCTGTATGAAAGGGAATTAGACACCTCATGCCCGACCCTTAGCCCTACTTAATTCCTGACTGTAAACTCCAAGGGACTATCATAGCATCATCTGTGGCTTAAATTCTTGAGCTTTATCTTTGTTTCTTCTGCCAAGATATTTCATGTCTATTTTTAAAGACTGTTTTAGGTGCAGAGATAAGAAAGGACATTGATATGATATGATAAATACAATTAGACCTATGACCCCCATGGCTAACATATAAAATTCACATATGTGCTACAGAAACATGAAGAATTGGTGATTTTTTTGTATGTGATTTTTGTGGTGATTTTATTGTGTCTGTGTATATGAATATATTTAATTATTAAATCGGGAAAGAGGAAGTTACCAATGATATTCTTCTGATTTAAAAAGAAAAATTTTCAACTGATGACATTTAGGATCAGACAGATCAATTGCAGCACAGTCATTACAACAAGTATGCAAAAGCCATTCCCAGAGTCTAAATATCTTACTGCATTTCTTCACTCAAACAGCAATTCACAGCAATGATTGATTTTTAACACAAACAAAGCCTATTAACAGCATTTATAAATATTCACGGATCTTCACCTTGAATAATGAGCACATGATATTCTTTTCTGATCAGGCATTGAAGAAATGGAGTTGAAGACAGACGGAATGAGTTTGGGAACAGCTTTGTAGGAGAGTGAATGGAGCACATACGTTGAAAGATTATTTTATGATATTCCATCTACAGAATACCAGTTAAGCAGCTTTTGGGCAAAAGACTGAGATTTATGGTAACTATATTCCATTCCCTTGGGTCCAATTGTGGTGATAAGCTGTCATTTCTCTCATTCTTTTCGTTTCAATGTTCTGGAAATAACATGGGCTTCAGAATCAAGAGATTTTGGTTATCACAATCAACCATCCATTTGATAAATTATTGCCTCTGAATCATGTTTCCTTTATGAACCAAGAACATGAAAAGTCTTGTAAATCACCAAGTTCTTAATAGGAACCTGGCAGTTATTATCATTACTCCTCAAGGGTAAACTCTCTTATGCATTCTTCAACAAGCAGTTCTACCCCCAGGGAAACCCAAGGCAATGATGCAGTCATACCGTTTGTCTCTAATTTGGAGCTAGAGATGGAGGTTTGCCCCTGGGTCTTCTCCATGGTTAGCAAAAATCAAAACTCATATTGATTTCTCAGGAACCTTAAACTGTGTTCACATATATATCTTGTTAGTCTCTTAACTCATAAATTTTTGCTTCTCAGACTGGAACTTGGAGTTTTTTAGAGATGCTACCTGCTTCACTATATTCTATGCCTTCTAGACAGAAATGTAAAAGATTCCCCATGCCTTTTATCTGAAGGTAACTGTGCTCACCATCTCAGGGATGATATCAAAACAGGAGTATAATTTGCATGCTGTAGTTTGATTGTATGTCACTGGGTGTGTGTGTGTGTGTGTGTGTGTGTGGTGCATGCCACTTATTCCAGGATTCTATCTGTCTTTACACCATACTATGACAGACAGATCTATGTAAAATAATTTATCTCGAGTATCTATCTAAATTTTGAAAGAGTAGTGTGATAGCAAATTTCCATGTAGAATATCTCAAAGTGGTTCTACATCTAATTTTGAGAGTATAAAGAAGAAAAAACACCTCCTTTTCCTTATCTTTAACACAAATTAAGTCCTGTCATGTTTTTTTCCAAATTTAATACCAAATATCCATAATTTTGTTCATCTTTGCTGCCACAGTCAAGGTAGAAGTGGGTATTATTTGTATCAAAATTACTATAATAATCTCCTATTCAGGTGTTCAAAAATTTTAGTCATTTCTTTACTTAAGCCTTTTCCTGTTTGTATAATAATGCAAATTTTCATTCTATTTCACCAGAAAAGTTCTCACATACTTTGGATTCTCAATAACTCTATAATCTGTAAATTTCCATGGAAAAACATGGTCTCCAAATTTTTTCTGTTTATTAAATGTCTTAGTTCTGTCCTCACCAACACTTAACTAGACTGCCCATTTTTATAATGTTCATGTGGTGTACTTTCACTTCTAGGAATTTATCATATGTACATATGATAAATATAAATACGACAAAAATACCAGTTTGAGTCACTGGCATAAAATCAAGGATTGATACATGAAAAAGTAGAACTTTCTATTTTTTGTGCTAGACAGATATTTACAAAAACTTCTTTGGCAAATCCTGGATGTGGCTGGTTTTGTACCAGTTCACAAAAGGTAATGTGAGGAATGTCATTTATTGCAATATTTTTTGAAATAAAAATATCACAAGCAATCTACATGTCCAACAGGCAGCTAATTGCCATATTCTTTGGTATACTAATTTTTATTTCCATAGTAAAGTAACATAACTGAATATATTATCTATCTCAGGTAACAGGATTTTGAATGTAGTATGCTGAAGAATATAAGGATTTTATACACAATTTTAATCAAGTTGGGAGAATCTTTACAGTAGTATAAACTTCAGTTTATTCAAAAAATACACAATGGGTCAGATAGTGACATATTATACTTCTCAAAAACCAAGATACTCACTCATTGAAAGTTCTTTACTTAGAATATGGATTCTATTTTTAACAGTCAATTCTATCCTATTTATTTATTACATTGTGTTTGTGCAGAGGAAAGGACTAAGACAAAGAAATTTGAATGAGAAAGAAGATAAATAATAATATTTTGAAAATATAAGAAATGTTAGAAATATGACAAGAACCATATCAATTCGAGTCATTGGGATTAAACCAAGGTTTAGAAACATGAAAAAGTAAAAATTACTATTTTTTTATTGGACAGATATTTATAAAGAATTCTTTGGCAAAACCTGGATGTGAGTGGAAAAGGTGAGCATTGTCACTTGTGCTATGGACTTGATTAAGAATGATGCAGTTTGAACTAAGAGAACATATAAGGTGGGAGTTGAAATAGAAACAGGTTTTCCCTCACATTCCACAAAAATTCCTTTAGAAACAGTGATGGAAGTCCAAAAATGTAGAATGGGAAAATTTTTTCTCAAAAGAAATATTGACATTGTGTTACAAAGTATGTCATTGGAAATTATATGTTATTGCCCTGGATTCGAGCAACTGAGTTGACCAGATCCTGATCTCAAGAGATTCAAAGCAACAATTATTTTTATTATCTTCATAGAAATAAATTCTTAACCAAAATGTACTACTGTGGACTTGGAGAGGTTAAGCTAGGCCAACGACAATTAGAAGTCAGATACTAGTTTTTCTTAAAAAATAATTTTCTTAGCAACCTAGCCTTGCACTCTCCTTCGTTGATTTCAGATTTCCTTAGGGATTCCTTCACTCTTCAAGTTTGAACCTGACCTGATCAGTTAGTCATTCTGATGTTTTGTGGTTTCTCCAAAACATATTAAGTTGATTTTTAGGTTCAAAATACCACCATTTTTAGCCAAAGCTTGAGACAGTAAGGTTAAAGTGTACATCTGACTAGTTCAAAACATGCTTTTATTCCATAATAATCATGATAGCTACTCTTTCATGTCTCCTTTTTTCATCTCTGGAAAAACAAAGTAAAAGACCATGAAACGAGATAATCAGACCAGTGTGTCTGAATTCATCCTCCTGGGGCTCCCCATCCTGCCAGAGGAGCAAGGCATGTTCTATGCCCTGTTCCTGGCCATGTACCTGACCACAGTGCTGTGGGGAACCTGTTCATTATCCTGTTTATCAGGCTAGACTCTCACCTCCACACCCCATGTACTTCTTCCTCAGCCACTTGGCCTTCACTGACATCTCTTTCTCATCTGTCACAGCTCCAAAGATGCTGATGAATATGCTGACACAGAGTCAATCCATCTCATATGCTCGGTGCATTTCCCAGGTGTACTTTTTCTTATTGTTTGGGGGTACTGATGACTTTCTTCTCACCTCAATGGCATATGATAGATATGTGGCTATCTGTCACCCCTTGCACTATACCACCACCATGAGTCAGAGCCTATGTTTCCTGCTTGCAGTTGGATCCTGGGTCTTATCCTGTGCAGGTGCCCTTGTGCACACCTTACTCCTAGCTCGTCTCACTCTCTTTAGAGGCAATACTCTCAACCACTTCTTCTGTGACCTCTCTGCCTTGCTTAAGCTGTCTAGTTCAGACACTGCTGTTGATGAGCTGGTTATTCTCATTGTAGGAATGGTGGTTGTTATCCTGCCATTCATATGCATTCTGGTCTCTTACAGCTACATTCTGGCCACCATCCTGAGGACTCCCTCCATCAAAAGAATCTGCAAAGCCTTGTCCACATGTGGTTCTCACCTTTCTGTGGTATCTCTGTACTATGGGGCAATTTTTGGACTATACTTTATTCCTTCACCCAATAACACTAATGACAAGGATGTCATTGTGGCTATGCTATACACTCTGGCCATACCCATGTTAAATCCCTTTATCTACAGTCTGAGGAATCGGGAAATGAAAGGCCCTCTGAGAGATATACTCAGGGGAGGAAACTTTTCAGTGTGACGAATGTTGTCATCCCTTTTAACTGGATATGAGAACATTACAATCCTATATATACATGTTTTTCTCTGAATTGTAGTTTCTTAGTGAATTCTAAGGTATCACTTGTCTCAGACTGCATTTCATGTTTGAGGAAGTTTGTCTCTTATTATCTGGTTGATACTGAAAGTCTTGGGAATGGTTTCATAAAGATACCTGTATTATTTTCCTTATCTTGAAAATCTCTTAAAATTTTTATATTGTGCCAGCCTTTAGAATTTTTATTAGTATATATTGTGTTCAAAAACCACCACATTTGACACACACATACTATTTGATCAGTTTAATCCTTCTATTGTTCTTTCGTTTCTGTCCTTGCTCCCTCTACTTTCCCAGGCTTTTCAGTGGATTTCCTATGCCATCTTCACAGAGACACTATGTTTCTATATATTCACCCCCTGTCATTCTGTTTCCCACTCCCTTCTCCCCATCATCTCTAAACAGTCCCATAATTATAATCATGCTTCACACATGGATGGATGGATGTGTGTGTGTGTGTGTGTGTGTGTGTGTGTGTGTACACATATACATACTAGTATTTTTGGTTTGGATTCTGCATGTAAGAGAAAACATATGACCTTTGTCCTTCTGAACCTGGCATATCTCACTTAATGTGATGATCTCTGGTTCCATCTAGTTTCCTGAAACTGACATAATTTCATTCTTCTTTATGACTGAAGTCATATAGTACTCCAATGTGTATATGGACTTTCTCATTGAGTAGTTTTCTGTCCTTTTATGCCAAACCTTTTTTTCTTTCTCGAGAGTACAAAAATATTTCTTCTGATAAGATTATCATTTTATTTTTGTGTTTACTTTTATGATGCACCTATAAATATCATTTGATATTGGTAACCTTAATTACAAATCTAGTTTTATTTTTGTTTATAATTTTTAAAATATTTATTTTTACAATTGACATGTAGAGGTTTGTACATGTTTTAGGCTATGAGGTGATATTTCTATATGTGTATAAGCTGTGCAATGTTCAAATGAAGATAAGCATATCTATTTCCTCAAATATTCATCATTTCTTCATGATAAAAACATTCAAAATATTCTCCTCCAGCTTTTTTGATGTATTCAGTACATTTTCATTGTGTGTAGGCAACCTGCTGTGCAACATCAGAGCTCATTTCTCCTGTCTCTGAAAAGCACAATTCCTTTGACCATCTTTTCTCTAGCTCTTCTTCCTTAATATTCTCCCCAGCTGTTCGTAATTTCTTATTCAATGTCTAATTTTTTAGTCATTTTTAAGTGACATGATAGCTAGGCACATGGCCTTTTCTTTTCCAAAGACAGTGGCCCTTAACACAAATTAAAATGAGATGGCTTTCTGTAGAAGACCCAGACAAAGTCCAGATTGAATGAGCAAAGATCAAAGTGAATAGAAACTCGACTGAAGCTCTGTAAGTCAGAGGAAGGTCAGATGTATATGAAGCAGAATATTAGGAAGAGAGATTTTTAAAGTCCTTCATGGTTGTGATGTGATTATGAGCTATCATGGGGTTAAAGAATATCCAGGCAGGATGTCAGGAAGTCTAAGCAAACTAAACTGAGAAAGCATGGCTTTTGTGCAGCTGAATCCAACTGAAATCTATTTTGAAATGAAAACATTATTTCCTTGTACATCTACACTAATGTAATACCCTATGTTTCCATCTGTAATGGTAAAGTTTTGTCACCAGTGCTTCATTTAACTCTCATTTTGGTATAAAGGAGGAAATTCACTAACTGGAGAGTTAGTGATTAGCCTTGTGCCACTAAGCTACCATATTTAGGGGAATGGAATTTGAACTACAGTATGTGCAAAGTGAAACAGAAAGACTTAAAAAGCACTTGAATATTTTTCAAACTTGAGCAATCATTTTATCCACCTTACTGGAAATTTTAGTTTGGTTTTCATGAAAATATTGAGGTAGCATATAAACATAATAACATATCTATAGGTTAAATATTTCCATAATAAGTTGTATTATGTCTATATATGTACACATGTTCAGATAGTCATATTTAAAATCATAAGATTAAAAGAAATACTAGTGTAACCGTCTCTAGCCTTAAATGGTAGAAAACAAACCATACTGTTGACATTATTTCAGTCCCTCCTCAACTATGCTTTCTTTCTTCTAAAGGTACCCAGTACCTTAACTATTTACTAAACTTTTCTTTCTTAAAATTATTTTTCCTATTTTTTTTATTTTTAAATTATACTAAATTGTATATAGTAAGGAGCATCATCATGACATTTCCATTCATGCAAATATTGTACTTTGAGTTTTAACACTTCTGCAGTGATTCTTCAATTTGCCTGCTCCAGAACTACATCTAAATGAAATAAAGCTGTATTTAATTATGCTTCATTTTGCTTTTGTTGCCTTGTTCAATTTACTGATATATTTTCATATTTTAGTGTAAATATATACACATTCATCTTTTTTAGTGTCCATGGTCTTTTAAAAAACATTTTGCTACTATGGAAAAACAGCTACAAAATTTCTTGTGCATGCATCTACTGTGGACACACAAAAGATTCTGTAAACTGCATATCCAGAGAATTACTGGATTACATGGAATATGGATATTCAATTTAACTATCACGGCTAAACTATTTAATAAAATTGCTATACTAAGAAGCTAATCTAAAAAGGTTACATATTATATGATTCAAACTAAATGACCTTATAAAAATGTAAAGCTATTAATATTATTAAACAATCAATGGTTGTGAAGACTTTGATATAGAGAAATGGGAGAGGTAAATAGGTGGAGAAAGGGGATTTTTAGGGGATAAAATGTTTTGTGCTCTAACAATAAGCACATGTCCCTGTGTATTTGCTGAAGCCGAAGGAAAAAAAGTAAGGAAAGAAACCACAACTGTGCATCCCAAAGAGTTAATTCCAATGGATTTTAGTTGACAATAACAACCAATATTGGCTCAATTGTAATAAATATGCTACAGCAGTCCGTGGTGCTAGTAGATGAAACTGTGGCCAGAGCTGGGGGGAAAGTTTAATTTGGAAAATGTTTCTGTAAATCTTAAAGAGAATGTATGTTAATTTTTGGCAAAGATTTTGAAGAAGCATGTGTATCTCCTCTAATAAATGACAACCAAATACCTGATGTTGTCAAAGATAACTGATCTGGATTCTTGAATTACTATAGTCCAAACTATCTCTCCACTAGGAGACCCATCCTAGACCTTTAGAAAAACCATCATCACCATTATTACTATAGAAATCCATATGTGAAACCCATCATCACATCTTTTTCTTACTTTTCTGTTGAGTGGTGTGTCTTTTATTCTTGCAATGTAGACATTTCTCATGTAATCTGGAGATTAATGCTTTGTGCTCTTTATATATTAAATTTTTCTTTAATTTGAACGTCATTATATTTTATTACTATTTTCTAATGTCTGAATTTTATTGTTCTGAAAACCATTAATGTAGCAATTTGGTTGATGTTCTTGCTTTTAATGTTATTCTTTGATGAAATCACCTCAAAAATGGCAATCACTCCGGTTTTTTAGACAATAAGGAACAATTAAGGAACACACAAAGACTGAGGATGGTGGACCTGTATTTTTGTCAGGAGAAGTGTCTTACATTTGTATTAATAGTAGGAATATCCTAGTAGAATCCTCTGTAGCATAATATGATGTTAATCACTTCAACACACATACACACACACAAAAGCATTCACAAATGCCCTATGATGAACAGTTTGAACATGTAAGTGATTCTTCAGAGCCAAGGAAAAGTTTGTGACTTTGGAAAATGGAATCAATTCAGTCACTAGCATATAAAGCCTGCACCTGAATTAATTAATAATGTGTGATAAGAAGTTGATCTTGATGCCATCAGGAGTTAGAATAATAGCATGTAAATAGTCTTTATTTTTATTATAATTACACAGTACTTCATCTATATATAGACTAGCTAGAACAAAGAATATCAGGGATTGAATGTAAGGTTGAAATCTTATTAATTTTAGGTTACAACAAGTAAAAATAAACAATCATGACATAACATTCATGATTAGTAGACCAAACTATGATCTTTCATGTACAGAATGGTGCTGGGATACATACTAAATGCACAGGAAACCTAGTCAATGAAATTCTAGCAGAAATATCATGAATCTATGAAAAGAAATACTCATCTAAGTACAGGAGACATTTAGAACTCCACATAAAAGGATCAGAAAAGGGTCTATTCAGGCCATTTTAAAGACAAAATGCCAAGAGTTCAATATATGACCATCAAAAACCATAATACAGCACATAAATAAAATCAAAGAGAAAAACCACATGATCATCTCAATAGATGCACAAAAAGTCTTTGACAAAACTCAATATCCTTTCATGATAAAATCCCTGAGGGAACTAGGAATAGAAAGAATGTACCTCAGCATAATAAAGGTTATATAAAAAACCCTATAGCCAACATTGTACTAAATGGGGAAAAACTGGTACCATTTCTTTGAAAGTTATTTTGACATAAGGTTGTCTACTTTCTCCACTCTTATTCAATATATTGTTTGAATTCTTAGCCAGAGCTACAAAGTAATAGAAAGAAATAAGAGGGATACAAATAGGAAAAGAAGTCAAGTTCAAATTATCATAGCATCAAGAATATGATGCTAAAGACTCCACTAAGAGACTCTTACTTCTGACAAATTCAGCAAAGTAGCAAGATACAGAATCAACTTTCTATGCACCAATAATGGAACCATTAACAAACAAGTCAGGAAAACAATCCCATTCACAACATCATCAAAAAAACAAAATTCCCAGGAATAAACCTTATAAAGTAAGTGAAAGTCCTCTTCAAAAATATGAAACACTGAAGAAATTAATGAAAATACTAGACAATGAAACAACCTCTCATGTTCATGGATAGGAATACTCAGAGAATAAGGTATGTTGTTACATAAGTTGTCAGTTGTACTGCCACTCCGAT